ATGCTAGCAGATGTCGTCTTTGTGAGGTCTGTATTTTCTCACATGCGTGCAAATAGCTGCACTACCAAAACTAATTAGGAACTCAGGATTTTAATTAAGAAAAGCATTTATTTAAATACTTCCTTCAAGCAAGGAAAGTATTAGCAGAAGCTCAAACCCTCTAACCACAAAACTACGTGGATCCAAACTATTCATAATAAACACAAACACCTTCTGCGTAAGCCCTATAAAGTCAGACTAAAATTATGCTGCAACTGACTCAAGTACGCTGCTGACATGATTTAAGAGTGTTCTTTCTATTTTAAGTCTTTTCTGAACTAATGCAGATCTGAAAGAAAGAAAAAAGAAAGAAACCATTTAAATTCATGTTTTAAAATAAAACATTGCTTACAGTCCTTTAATCAATTTACCTGGCTTTGGAGCTGCCTGAGACCCAAGCACCTGGTGGGTTCTAAACATTCGCAAGCAAAGCACCTTTGCAGAACACGCCTTCGACGGGAGCACATTGCCAAAAACAGGAGCTGAGCATCCACCCACAGCAACACGCAGAAGGCTCGCCATTGCACCCAGACCTCACAACAAATTCCTTGCCACGTATGGAACCCCTACAGCAAATGTGAAAACAAATCAAGAGTTATTAATGACACTGCACAGAAGGCATGTAAACACAGCAGGTTTAGAACCAGTCGACTGCCAGTAGCCACGAGACAATCATTCCTCACCACCTTTATCTTTCAGGCTAGAAAAAAAACCACTTTTTTTTTTCCAAATTAAGTAAGACAGCTCTTAACCAAAGCAACTGGCGTGACCAGCCGCGACCCGGGATCGCATTTCTGCGACTCAAGGCCATTTTCTCTTTACACCGCTGCTTTAAAACGGGAACTTTGGTACGGGAAAAGCGCGGCGCCCCAAGGCACCAAACAAACGACTCCAACCCGTGCCACAGCTCCCTCAGGAGTCATCCAGGGTGGGACACTGCTTGGGAGGCGCAGCAGAGCACGCACTCGGGGCGGAACACCCCGGGCTGCGGGCAGGGGAGCCGGG